GCAAGAGCTTTTAGTGAATCGTCCATCTGAGAAAGTCTACTCTGTTCAGTGTTCTGTTAAGGGAAATTTCCCTTTTGATTCCATTTTGACCAGTGATTCCGGCCGGGTCAACGGGAATTTGGAACTGGAGGGCGAGACATCCTGTTCCTTGTCTCCTGGAAGGGGAGAGCAAGGTTTGAGGGATGTTGCGAGTGTGAAACAAGGAAGGTCTGAAGCAAGAGGGAAAGGGCTTGCGAGTAGGAGGCTGAGATATGGTCTCCGACATCGGCGGAAAGGTGCTTTAGATCGTGGGAAGTTTGGTTCAGCTCCACTATTTGATTCGTTAGAGTCAGACGCACAAGCTGTTTCATTGGTTCCGCCCAATGCCACTGCAGCTCTTGTAGGAGATGATACTCCTGAAAGAAGTTCCATTCTTGTTAGTCCTCAAGGTGTCTATCTTACCTTTGACTATCAATTATGCTCTTAAGCTGCTTTCAGAGTTCATTTTCTTCATGGCTGTTGATGATTGGAACTCATAGGACAATTCTGTTCCATAAGTCTTTCTTTTTCTAACTGCTGTTTAAGGTCAGTGTTAAACAAAAAAAGATTATTTGTGTGGTTTTGTTCATCCAAAAACTCTTATCAGGTTTTGAAAGGCAAAGTTGTTAGGCATTTGAAGATTTGTTTTTTTTGCTCAGAATGCAAGGAATGCGTGACAGACGTTAATAATGTGTAAACACAAATCGTAGTTTTGCAATATATACGTTTTGATCGAATTAATGAGTAAATTTATTTATAAGATACTTCATCCTAAACAAGATACTTGATGTTGTTTTGTGGAGAATTATTATATAATAGTTTTGCTGTATCTTTGTTTGCTAAAATGGGGCTAGGTTTAGTGGGTTGACCATATACCCTATATTAGGAAAGGTAATATTGGTGAATTCAATTGTCAAGGAATGAAATCTATGCATCGTTATATTTTTCAAACATGTTTTTGAACCCTTGAATTCACTGTATTTCATGATTGTACTTTTGCAATATGTTATGTTTGCACATGCCGATCGGCTGATGCTACCTCTAATGTCAGTTTCAATGTTAGATGGCAGGGAAGTTTCAGATGACATTGGCTTGCAGCAAAGAGCTTCTGGTGGTTTTGAAATTGAGACAACTGGTTACAAAAATAAACGTCAGGAGGGGACTGGATCCCTTTCTGAACAGGTTAACTACAATTCAACAGTAGATTTACACTTAGAGAGCAATACTAAAAATGCAGTTAGGGTCTTAGAGCAAGCACTTGAAGAAGAGCATGCTGCCCATGTTGCTGTATGCCTTGAACTTGAGAAAGAGAGAAGTGCTGCTGCCACTGCCGCAGATGAGGCCATGGCTATGATACTGCGCCTACAAGAGGAGAAGGCATCAATTGAAATGGAAGCTAGGCAATATCGGAGGATGGTAGAAGAAAAGTCAGCTTATGATGCTGAAGAGATGAACATCCTCAAAGAGATTTTAGTAAGGAGAGAGACAGAAAAACATTTCTTGGAGAAGGAAGTTGAAACTTATAGAAATATGTTATTTGCAAACGAGCAATTGGAGTCTGACATGCAGGATACTGCAACTATATTCGGACAAGGTATTTCTTCATCATATTCAAGCGAGGATCCAATGCTGATATTACAGCGGATAAATGACTCCATCAATGAAAGAGAGAGAAATAACAATGTGAATACCTTTTCAGAATCTGAGATGACATCCATTGGGGCAGAAAATTACACTTGTGCTTTTGGAAAAGAATTACCGATTCCTGAACTCGAGGATTCTGATTCTTTGAAGCTAGGGATGATCTATGAGGATTCACTTATTGATGAAAATGATCAGCATTTGTCTAGTAGCAATGACGGGATCGACAATAAGTTTAAAGAAAAGAAGGGGCCAGTGTCTGTTGACAAGCATCCTCCTAATGAAGAAACAGAAATAAGATCAGGAAAACCAAAAACTAATCCAACAGCCCGTCAGGAACAACCGGAGAAATCTGATAGCTGCATTTCATGGCTGGGGTTGACATCAAAGACAGCTCAGAGTTGTGATGGAAGTAAGATTGTTTCTCTATATGACTATGATGATATGGACAACTGTAGAAGAGATTCAAAAAATTCAAATCGTTTTATTGATTCTCCTGTTCATGATGTTCATGTTGTTGATGATGAAGTCAATAAGAGTCTTGAATTGAGGGAGAAACAATCTGAACAGCTGCCAGTGGATGTCACCTTAAACATTTCTAGAGCATGGCCTGGTCCAACCCATGAGCAAGTTAAAACCCAGACTAGAGAATGAGGAAACTTCTTCAGATATAACTAGTCGATTTCTTCTGAGAGATGGCATGCGAAGAAAGTCTTTGCTTTCTGATATGAGGAGAAATTCCATGTCTGCTGTTGATTATGAAAGATCAAAAATTGACAATGAAGTAGGACGGCTTCAAGAAAGGCTGAAGGCTGTGCAGGAGGGAAAACAGAAGCTCAACTTCTCTGTAGGACACTGGGAAAGAGGAAAAACCCAATGTCAACTTTTGGAGGAAATAGCAGACCAGCTTCAAGAGATCCGGCATTTGGCAGCACCTGGGAGGGCTGCGCGTCAAGCATCTATGCCTGTGCCACCCCATAAGGTATGGAGTTAAGACATTTGTTATTTTTATTTTATCTGATCCAATCTCTAAATTCCATTTCTTTCCTAGCTCTGGATATACTATTATTACGAGATCTCTCTGATTACTATGCGTTTTTGATTATTTTTAAAGCATTCAGGTGCATATTAACTTTTAGCACAAGACCACGGTGTCTATTGTCATTTCTTTATTATGTAAGATATTGCATGATTTTTGTGTGCTTTTCCTAGCTGATAAAACTCTTTAAGTTAAGCTAAAGAAGAAATATTGCCTAGTCCTTAGCCCAAAAACATGTAAATGTACGTGAAATTATACCAATTCTCTACTTCGGTCCAGGTGTTTATGCACTCTGCATGGAGATGTATAGGGAAATTATATATAGAATTCTTGGATTTTTGATTGTTTTAGCTTGGAGAAGTTCATTTCTAGGATTTCTAAGGTATAAAACAGGGTCCTGATTATTTGCAAACGTGGAAAATGAAATCCTGTTGGCCAGATTCTTCTGAAATTTTCATTTTCCTCCGAAAACCTTGGTTACAGAGTTATTAAGAGGTAACATGTTACACAACTGATTTGCCTAGCAACACATAGGTCTGTAACAGACAAGTCTGCAAATCTCGGTATGAGTGAGAACAGTAATAAATAAATAAGAGGAGAGATATATGTTAGTGTGAAAGTCCAAAACCAGGAAATGAGTAAATATTTTCTGTTGTCTGAGGGAAGGCTGTTATAAAAATTTAGTAAGTAACAAAAATTCTAGCAGATACTGGCATTTACAATTTCATTATTTTCATGATTTTCTTGTGTGATTGAGGAAGCTTCTGTATTCCAGGTTAAAGCTATGCCAAAGAAAAGATACTGGCGAAGTGCTTCTGTAGAATTTCAAAGAAGTGCTTGAATAAAGGTACAAAATGAGGGATGAATGGTATAAGAATTTAGCTGCAACAGTGCATTCGTTGTTTTAGGTTAAGATTTTTGTAGCTTCCACGTGGAAATGGAGTTTGAGAAGTTAGTGTCTCTACAAATATGTTTTTTTTTTTTTTGAAAATTAATGAAATAAGAGTTTATTATATTAATTTTTAATGGGTAATTATTAAAATTAGAGAGTATTCTGCATAATTCAACCTACAGGTGTATTCAGAGATGAAAAAAGGTATACATATTAATTTCTTACTTTTTTTTTTTTTCTTAATAAACATGAACTAGTTGGTATCATAATTGTTTACATGTAAATGTGAGTTCAGATTTTTTGGGGGCCAGATGGAATTTGGTAGTGCCCAAGGTGTATATACATATATATATATATATAATACATATTAGAGATCCATTTCATTGCCTCTATTTTATGAGGTAGCTTTTGCAGTTTCTTATACAGCCCTTTTAGTTTTTCTAGCTTTGCAGTTTTTTTTTTTTTTTTTGTAAAAATATTTTAACGCTTTTGATGTATTGATTGTTTAATTAACTTTTGCTACTTTCCATTTTGATTACTAATAATACTTTAGATTGCCAAACATAGCCTTACCTCTCTTAACTTTATGTGCATATATATATGTATATATAGAAAATCCCTTCTCCTAAACTTTTTACCCACCATATAATTTTTCATTTGGATGAAATATCAACCACACACACGTATATGTGTATATATGTATTGTTGGACCCATTCGAAGAGATGGTATGAGATAATTTAGGAAAAGGGATAAAATGGAATTTGACCTCTCATTCATTAGGCAAATAATGTGGAGACGTCCTCATATGGATTTTGAACAAATAATTTTTCCACAACTATGTTTGACAGAAAATAATAAAACTACACATGGGTATGGCCAAAACAATTCTCGCAAGGTTTTGTATGACACTACGCTTGTGTTATCTTAAAGTATATTACATAAAAAGAAATAAAATATATCTTTTGTAAATTAATTTGTATAATTATAAGAGAGTTGAATGATAAACAAGAAATCTCGAAATCAGAGGTTTAAGATGAATGTGAAGAGTTTGTTATGGAGAGGATAATGATAATGATAGTAAATTAAAATATTATGACTGGTTATTAGGATATTAAGCAATAAATACTCATTACCTACTGTTACGGCACCCATATTTCTCCACTTACCACATACTTTATTATTATTATTATTATTTTTAATTAATTTTTTAGATGAGCCGTTTCATTCGGAAAAAAAATTTGAATAATATAATATCACAACATGTATGTATGTATGTATATGTATTGGAAATAAGCGAGGGTATAATTGTCTTTTCATTTGGTTTTGGAAGATGTATTTTAGGGTTAGTATTTTTCCTCAAACTCAAATTATCAACACCATCCAAAAAAGAAATAAGAATGGGGGAAAAAAGATTAAATTTATGAAAATACCAAATAAAATAATCTTCCCCTTTCTTTTTTTTTTTTGTTGTGTGGTTTAAATCTTAAAACTTCTTCGTTAATGTCATTTCAATTTTTGCTTCCCCATTTCTCCTTCCCTCTTGGTAAGTTATATAAATATATATATATATGTATACGTATATTCATATATGCTTATTTTAAACTCTGTTATCTGTCATTTCTTCATCTGGGTTTTTTTTTTTTTTTATCCTTTCCTTTTTTTTTTAAAAAAAAAAATTAATCCTAGGAGGCGCACACTACCATTATTAAAATATACAAAAAATACCCACTTGCTTTATCGATTTAAATAACGTGCAGAAGAAAATAGACAAAGAGAGACAATAGCGAAAAGGGTACATATTATATGTACTGTATTGAGTATTCTATTGTGGTAAAAATTTCTATTTTGTATGTTTTCATCGCTTGTCCTCCATGAACGAGGAAGCACAGTTCCTGATTTGAAAACTCGGGGTAAATACGGTGAATACTCGTATGAGGCAAAGGTGAGTTTTGGGTTTTTTTTTTTTTTTCTTTTTTTTTTCTTTCTTTAATATCTTCGATTAACGGGGGGGTACCAGTCACTACTGTCCACAATGCTTAATGGTATCTTCTTAAATCTCCATGAAAATCTTTTCCCTGAAACAGTGTCAAAGATAAAGATTAAAAAGAAAGGGAAAGGAGTTGTTGGGCTTCGTTAATGGATATATGCGTCGTGTATTTGTTTGTATACATTTGTTTCGTACTCATGAGATACAACATATCTTTAGAATGTCAGACAAGGCAATAGATATAGACCTGTGAACTTAGCTCCATAGCCAGAGACACTTTCTGTATATTCGTCTTTATTACAATAGCCTAAAAGCGTGTCTCCTTTCTAGCCTCTGATGGCTTCTTTCTGTTTGATTCTTGGTACTCTGGAAGAATTCATGGCTGTCACAGCCAAACTGTACTACCATTTGCTTTCATCGGGTTCTGAATTCTCTCCCTTGTTACTGGAAGTCATTACATCAACTAAGGTTGTTGTATGTTATTTCTTTGTCAAGGAGGTTTTCTTTTTATTCTTTATTTTCTAAACTTATGGATGGATATTAATGGATTGCCTTTTTATTTTCTCGTTTCTTTTCTCAATATTTTGTTTTCTCTACTGCATGTATGTTTGCTTAATGCTTTTGTCTGTTTCTCTTTCTTCCCCCCCCCCCCCCCCCCATCCCGCCTCCCCGCCCCTTTTTTTATTCATTTTCTTGTTTGTTTCTGCTGCATGGAGGTGATGCCTTTGGTGATATATTATATGGGTTTTATCTGATATCTCTTTGCCTGCTAACTTTTGCATGCCATTTACTCTTATTTTCACCCTTTTTTTTTTTACTGTTCTGTTGATGTTGATCAGTTGGTGTTGACAGGGAATGACATAGTAAGAAAGTGGATGTTGTGAAAAGGAAATGCAATGGCTGCTTCTACTTCTTGTGCCAAACAAAACCTACTGACCATGAACATGAAGGAACCTAGCTCTAACTATAAGCCATATCCACCACCTCTAGCAAGGTATGAAGATGTAGTAGCCAGTGCTAAGCTCTTCATGGCTACTTTGGAGAAGCTACATGCTACCATGGGAACCAAATTTATGTAAGTTTCTCTTTTGATCCTTCTGCTCTATTACTTTTCCTCACATGTAAACATTTTTAATGGTTTATGAACTTGGCAGTTTATATTCCTATAGGTACATTCCATACTCTCATATGAATTATATCTGGGTGCATCTATGTTTTCTTTTTAATGCTTGGCACGAAAAACCTTATCTTGGAAGTGTTACTTATTTCTATTGGATTCAGTTACCAAAATGTTGCTATATGAGACATTGTTCTTTTTGTGAGTCACTGTTAGGCCATTCCTACGTATTTACAGAAGAAGATATTTTCTTATCATTTTCCCCCTAAAGTTTGCCCATACGAATTGATTGAGAGTTATTCTATATTGATATACTTATATTCCTGCAGAATGGATGAGATGTTTATGGTATGCTATCTGTTTTCCTTTCTTTTTTGTGTAGATGGGGGTATGAACTGGGTTTCTAAATTGCAGTTTTCTCAAAAAGACAAAGTGGTTCTAGTTATTTTGAGATCAACAGTAGCATATTGCTGCAAATTATTTGAGTGATTAGGGTGTTTTTTCCTTTTGAGTTACCTTTTCTCTGAAGTAGACATGGTTCTTCGTGAAGAGGAGAATTAAAAATATCTGTCTAGAACGGAGCACAAACACTAATCAGTTTTCCTACGTATATATGCTTGAGATGCAACTTTAGACAACTGAGATTATTTTCTGCTGATAAAATATATTTCACTTTTTCAAACATTGTATAATATTCTTTCATTCTATTGGTTGGTCTCGGACATTTAAAAGACTGTAGTAGGTTATACTGCCGCCGAATCATCCTCATGACTTTGCTGACTATAACTAGATTTAACTTTTATTTGCTTTAGTGGTCTGCATGTCCAAAAATTTAAACACTTTTTATTATTCAGAGGCAGTGCTTTATGTTCCTTTTCCTTAAATTTATATGTAACTGTTCTTTTCCGATATTTAGTTGTGCTTCCTGAGGTTTCTTGTCGCACAAGTGACATCTTTCCTTTTCTGCTTTTCTGAAATTTATGCATTGTGATTATAGGATTCCAATTATAGGAGGAAGGGAGTTGGATTTGCATAAGCTTTTTGTGGAAGTAACTTCTCGTGGTGGTATTGAAAAGGTAACATGCAATTAGAATGCTAGTTCTTGCATATTGCTACTGAATTGGTTCGGCTAGGTGTGTTATAATGGCTGATGCTGTCTGCACTATGCCAACTTATCTATCTGTATATGTGTGTATACATATTTATGGGTCTGTATCTGACTATTCTAGCTCTGGTGTGGATATCCTGTCCATACATGTCAAGAGTTGGTTGAATGACAAAGCTGATTTGTGTTTTATTCTATTGTATGTGAAGGCACATTATCACTGTCTTCTGCCAAATAATTTTGTGTGTTCCAACTGTCAAGGACAATATCTTAGTCTCTTATCAGTTTCTTGTTTCTTGAACAGAATTATTCTCTCCAATGTGTTCTCATGGGCATGTTAGCTGATTTTCTGTCTGTTAGCTGCAATTATAGTCTGTCATGAATAATGATTATGCAAATTGCACAAAAAGAGGCAATAAGTGTTCCTTTCCTTTATGAATTGAAGCTTCATTACTAATTTAATTGAAGTCGATATTGTTCTTTCATTAGCTAACCATAAGCATGTGCATGATATCTGCTATAATAACCTGATGTGCATAATTGGTACGCAAATTGCAATGGAGCTGCAAATACTCCTGATTCATTGGAGCTTGACTCTTCTTCATAATCTTAATAACATTGTTTTCTTGGGCAGTAAATTTCCAGTGCGGGGATTGCACAGGAATAACATTGTATCTGCCATACGAAAATTCTTCTTTGGTCTATGTTATAATATAATTTGATAATATTGTTTGGAAACACAAGATCTCTGCCAGATCCATGGAGTCCCACTATTAGCTTCATTTGAGAAGCCTTGGAGAGATATATGGTTTGTTTAGGGGTCAGAACTGTTTCTCAATTCTATATGTGGTGTGTTTAAAAGTCATCTGATGGGAAAGCTCTCAAGTTTTTTTTTTTTTACTGTAATTGTAACTTTGGTGCCTTCATGATCTTTTTCCATAAAGTTCTGTAGGAGCTCTCGTTTCAAGATTTCAAATCTTATTTTGAAGAAATTATCCCAGTATTGTGTAGTTGGAATCTTTGTTAATGTTCTCCTATGCTTTCTAACTTGATAATAAGTGTTGGCCAGTTGTACATATAGTCTGTTCATGCCAGAATAGAGTCCTATCTTAATAGACCATCTTTAGCATTTTTATAGCATTGTTCAAGCACTGTATGAAATACGTGAAATTTTCTTTATTTTACAGATCTTATTCTCTTTATTTTTCTCATCCACAACCATATGGTCCTTTTTCCATCTTTTTCTTTCCTCTTTGAAGTACTTGAACTGCAGTGGATTTTATAATATTATTCTCAAAGCAAGGGGATAATTCAATATTAATATTCACTTGTTTTTACTTGAAGTGTGATGCACTCTCATAATTCCAAATTATTTTTCCAATGGAGATAACAGATCATCAGGGAGAGAAGATGGAAAGAGGTGACTGCAGTATTCAACTTCCCCTCTACTGCAACAAATGCATCTTTCGTCCTGCGCAAGTACTATTTTTCACTGCTTCACCACTATGAACAACTTTACTTTTTTAAAGCTCGGGGATGGGTCCCTGCTTCTACCGGTATTCACAATGCAATGCCAACTATATCTTGTGATAGTTGCATGTTTCTCATACTAATTACATGACAATCTTTGGCAGATTCCTCGCAGAGCCCATCTATTGCTCCTGTGTCTGGTCAAGGGGCAGTGGGGTCATCATCAGAAATCCAAGCAAATGTGTTCCAGCAAATGAGGATAGATGGATCTCCTGGAGGTTCCTTTTGTCTTTCTTTCCCTTCCTTTTCTGTTTAGCTGCATCTGCTGCCTTTTCTTTTTTTTTCCTCTTTAATATATCATCTTATTCTCCTGTTGGTCCTCTATTATGTTCGTTGTTCTTGGGTTGAAAAAGAGGAAAAAGGATCTTCCCATCATTCATATCTTTGTTCTCTCCTTGGAATGTTGTGACTTTTGTGTGATGGGGGAGAGGAATCTAAAGTGACTTAAGTTTTTCACTTATTCTTTGAACTTTAATATGAGAATTTGCTGACGAAGTGAAACATGGATCTTTTTTAAAATATGTTTTTCCATCTTCACTTACTTTAATAAAGAGACAGTGCAAACTGTATTAAAAATTGACAAAAATTGATATCATATGAAATTCTATGTGGGATAATTTCTTTGAAGTTTTTGAGAAGTCTGCATCATCTTTTAGTTGAACTAAGCATAGATTTACAAATAAATTTCTTAAAATTTCTAGATATGTCCCATATATATCCTTGATTTTTTTTTTTCGGTTGTTGCGTCTGCTACATTAGTTCCAGTTTCACTCTGTTCATCAAAGAGAATAACAGTACTTCATAATGGAAAGTGAACCCTTACTGAATGCTTTCTCACAAACAGTTGTCATCTTGGGAGGGGTTATCACATTTGTTGTGGCTTATGGTGCATGTCTGTTCTGGGTAATGTCTCAGATGTAGTCTGGAAGGTGGGGGAACTTTTGAGTATAAGAAATTTCATATGAAGAGAAATGTTGTTTGGAATAAAATTTTCTTGTGAGTCTCTAGATTTTACTAATTGGAAACACTTCCCAAATGCCTGTGCTATTTGTTTCTAGAATTTTTATGTCAAAATATGCTAGCAGTTTCTGATGTTTGTTTTACCAAACACACCTAAATTTTGTCCTATTTTTTCTTCTTAATCGTTGAAGTGACATTCAGGATTGCTCAAAATCTGGCTGTTGATGTGATTTCCTTGGTGTTTCTGTATTTTCCTGTTTGCCTTTGTTTCTTTTTAGTTTTCATCTCTGTTTCATTTCAAATAGCTAATGTACCCTTGTCATATTATTCTCTTTTTTTGGTCTTTGAGTTTATCATTGTTTTTCTTATTTTGAAATTTTGATAAGATGAATTTTATGTGCTGAGGCTTGCTATTGTTGCAGCGACTGGAGGAACTTCAGCCAGTATGCCAGTGATTGGAGTAATAGATGGGAAATTCGAGAGTGGCTATCTTGTTACTGTCACCATAGGTGCAGAGAAGCTAAAGGGTGTTTTGTATCAGGCTCCACAGAGCTCAGTTCAGCAAGTGCCACAACAGTATGGTGTGTTTGCCAACACTAGGAGCAATGCTCATTCTGTGCCAGGAGTGCAACGGCGCCGTCGCAGGAAGAAATCTGAGATTAGGAGGAGGGATCCTGCTCACCCTAAGCCTAACAGAAGTGGTTATAATTTCTTCTTTGCAGAGCAACATGCAAGATTGAAACCACTCCATCCTGGAAAAGACCGAGAGATTAGTAGGATGATCGGTGAATTGTGGAACAAACTAAAAGAACCAGAAAGAAGTGTAAGGACCATATTATGTTCTAGGAATTCGAATCCTACTTGTTGAATCTGAATGGTTATATATTGTTTCTTGGTTTCCAGGTTTATCAAGAGAAGGCTCGGAAAGACAAAGAAAGATACAGATTAGAGATGGAGAATTACAAGGAGAGGCTACGAACAGGCCAGGTGGTGAAAGATGCAATGCCACTTCAACAGAGGCTTCCAATGGCAGCAGCAGCGGCAGCAGCAGATGATGTGGATATGGTGGACAGAGACTCGAAGATTGGAGAAACTGAAGGAAGGGAATCTCCCGAAAGCCCAGACAACGAGAGTTATTCCGGGGAAAGTGAGTGCGAAGAGGACAGAACTACAGAGAGGGGTATGGACATGGAGATGTGTCCACCGAGAGACAGTGAATCTGGCAATTTAGGCGTAAGGAATTTGACAGAGGAATCGGCATTTCACCTGCTCAAGGGAAAAGAGATAGTTGGGAGCGAAAGGGTCGAAAAAGTCGGTGTTGAGGATGAAGAGAATGCGGGTGATACTTTGTCATGAAGAAAGAAATAAAGAATGGAGCCAGCGGATTGTTTTTAGATTAGAGTAGGTAAAGGTTTTATTTGAAATGAAAATCTCTTGATTTACAGAGATTGTTTTGATGATAGTTGAGGTTAGTAGATGAAGCAGTTTGGTATGTTCTTCCTTCATGTAAAGCAAAGCTTATTTGAATTCAAGTAGTCAGAATGGATTTTTGGCCAACAGCTGAGACAGTTTTGTAGTTCTTGATTTGCTCACTCAGAATTCTGGGTTTTAATTTTATTTAGCAGTTCATCAAGTTACAGACTTTTTTTTTTTTTTTTTTTTTTTTTCATTAATTTATTTACTTTTTGTTGCTTCTCATCCTGGCAACCTGATTCATCATGTGTATGAAATCATGTAGTATATAATTTAGATGATTGAAATGTATGTACATATATATATATATTGAATTTACATAAAAAAAAAAAATACATTTTAAAAAATTCAGATAACTACAAACAGATTTGTTGAATTGTTTAAATTTATTTATATGCATGCATCGATAAACTAGATTAATCATCTAATTATCTGCAAACAATTTTTTTAATTTCTAAAAATATAATTGAAATCCTATCCACTAATCATAAGTTTAAAAAAAAAAAAAAAAATCTAAAAGTACAATTAAGACCATCTATTTTTTTTCTCATTAAAATTTACTAATTAAAAAAAAAGTTTAAGCCGGATATTTCTTGATAATGTATATATCTACATATATACAAAACTCATATTTTTTGAAATAAAAAAATAAAGATAATATGTTAATATTGATTGTAATTATATATATATATATATATCAATATTGTTAATGAGAAAAAAATTGAATGAAGACAACCCCAATTGAAAATGGGCCCCCAAAGCTGAAAAGAAGTACCAAGCTTTTGAAAATGAATTTTTTCTACTTTACAAATGGGGTCTACAGAGTATAGTAATTTAAGTAATTAAGATTCTAGTACTATGCTCAATAATTTCTGTAAAACTATATAATTCGTTTAAAAAATTGAC